AGATTAAAAGCCAGCGCGGCAGGCACGAACGCCAGGCGGTCGGCCAGTTGCTCTCGGGGCTGCCCGGAACTGGGTCCCAGCCTCTCAACGAGGTCCCAGGGAGGCTCCAGGACCTCCACTTTGGCCAGATGCGGCTGGACAGTGTCTGGCGACTCTCCAGCCCGGGTCACCCACACCCACTCGCCCTGGAAAAGGCCAAGGCCGCGGAGGCAGGTCCGGCTCACGCCCAGCGCATCTCCGGTCCCTCCCAGCGCTCCCTGGAGCTGCCGCGCCGTGCTGGGAGCTGCAAAGGACGACACCACCGGCGGGGGCGGGGGCCTGATGCTGTCCCCCGGCTCCGGGCCAGGTCTGCTACGTCCTCGGAGCTCAGTCACGGCCAGCCGCGTCCCCGGGCCCAGCAGTCCCTGTAGCGCCGGCCGCGTTTCCAGGACGCGCGGCCCCGGCACCGGAAGGGTCTCCCCGCGTCTCACCAGCAGCGGCCCCAGCCGAGGCGCGAGCCCCGGCCCAGGCGAGGAGCCCAGCAGCGCCCAGCCGAGCGCTGGGGGCCGCCGCACTGGCCGCGCCCGCACCCGCGCCCCGGAGCCCAGAGCCATGAGCTGCAGCAGCGCGCAGCTGACGAGCAGCTGCGGGGGTCCCGGGCCGCGCGCCTCGGCCTCTGCACCAGGTCCTTCCAGGGCCGCCACGAGCAGAGCCGGCCCCGTCGGGCCCTCGCTCGCAGGCCGCAGCGCCAGCACTAGGCCGGGCCCTGCCGCAGGCCATGGCCCCCCGGGGGGCAGCAGCACGGCCAGCGGCGGTGTCTCTGCCGGGAAGGGCTCCAGGACTCGCAGGACAGCCAGCGCCATGGCGACTGGACATCAACCAGCTGGCCGCAGCTTCCGGAGCCAGCGAGCCGGAAGGAAGCCCGGGCAGGAGAACCGTTTCCGGTTCCCGCAGCGGCGCGCGGGAAAGTGGGAGTTGGGTACGCCGCTCCCGGGGTAATCGGGATAGTTCCTCGCTCGGCTCCAGGGTCTATAATCGCTGCGGTTGCGTGGTCTCTACGCATGCGCCCTTGGAAGGACTTGCTCTACTGCCGAATGGCATTTTCCCACTGCACCGCATTTATAAACAGTCTGGTCACTAAGCCCCTGTGCCCTCGAGTGCTCAGCCCAGGCCAGGGAGCTGTCGCTGGAGTATTTAGGAAAGCGTCCGCTTCTCCGCGGAACTCGTAGTTTGCGCCCCACAGCAATAGGCACTAAGGTTTGAGGCTTGCTGGGAACGTTGTAGAGGGAGTGGTAGGATTATAAAACTGTCTCATACATGCTTATGAGTATGTAGTGGCTGCTGGCTGATTTACTACATGTGATTCACAAGCCTTGGAGTGCTTTGGTGCCACCACACCCTTCCCGACACATCCAATCTGAAACCTGTGTCCCACAGCTTCTTATCCTGTCCTAGTCCCACAAAACAGCTTTCCTCTTCCTTCCAAGCCCGGGTGCTTTCCCCAGCAAATCCCGCGTCCTGAAGGAAGACAGGCCGCAGGGCAGGCAGAGAGAGGGTCCTGGGTGCTGAACCACCAGCCTCCAACCGGTGCCGGTGCTGTTAGATTTCCATCCTTGCCTTCCCTCCATTTGAGGGTGGCAGGCCACATCCCCAGCTGTTAAATTACTAGATTTCATTTATAATCAACGGATTGGATGGTGACAACGTTCTCTTTCTGGAGCTTGCTTTCTCCCCTCCACAGCTGAGGACCTTGTGTTAACCTATTTTGTGTAGAATACATTGCCTGAAAAGGGAATATTATATTTACTTTTTTTTTTTGGTACTGGGAGTCAAACTCAGGACCTTGTGCTTGCCAGGCAGGTGCTTATGCTGCTGAGCTAAACCTTGACCTTTATTTATGTATTTATTTTATTTTTTGCAGTACCAGGGATCAAACTCAGGACCTTGCGCTTGCTAGGCAGGTGCTTAGGCTGATGAGCTATCTCCCTGGCCCAAAGGATTATTATTTTTTTCATTATTTATTTGTGTGTGTGTGTGTGTGTGTGTGTGTGGCCAGCTCAGCCCACCAGGGGACGGGGCCGGGTGGCATGTGGTGCTGGGGATTGAACCGCGGTCCCTGTGCTTTGCTAAGCTTGTTCTAAGTAGATGCTTTAGACCACTGAGCCATCTCACCAGCACTCCAAAGGATTATTATTTTTTTGGGGGGGCGCAACCAGGGATTGAACTCTGATCCTTGCATTTGCCAGTCAAGCGCTTATCCTACTGAGCCATCTCCCTGGCCCCCAAAGGATTATTATTATTATTTTTTGTTGTTGTTGTTGTTGCTCAGACACCCTGAAGGGCAGGTCTGGTAAGGCAGGTGGAGCTGGGAATCAAACTTCGGTATCCTGCACCTGACTGTGTTTGCATGGGCAGGCACTTAAACAACTGAGGTAACCGGCAGCAACCCCCCACCTTTAGATTTACATGTTTTAAGATATGTCTATCCCTCACCACCAGAGAGACAAGAAGCTATTTAGGGGGCCAGGGAGATAGCTCAGTGGAAAAAGTGCTTGCCTGGCAAGCGCAAGGTCCTGAGTTCAAACCCTGGTACCACCAAAAAAATAAGCTATTTAGATGTCTAAGTATAGTTGTTGAAGTAGTGCTGGTCATAAACATGACATTTTTCTAAAATTTTTTTAATGTGTGTGTGTGTGTGTGTGTGTGGCCAGCTCAGCCCACCAGAGGGCAGGGCCGGCTGGCATGTGGTGCTGGGATTGAACCGCAGTCCCTGTGCTTTGCTAAACTTGTTCTAAGTAGGTGCTCCAGATCACGGAGTCATCTCACCAGCCCAACATGACATTTTTCATTCTTGCCTTTGATTTAATTTATTTAGAGACAGGGTCTTGCTATATGATCGAGGAGGGCCTCCAACTGATAGCCATCCTGTCTCAGCCTCCCAAGTGCTGGGACTGCAGGGAAGCACCACCACACCTGGATCCTGCCTCTGGTTGTTTTGTTTTGTTTTTGTTTGTTTTTTGCAGTGCCCCAGATTGAACTTGTACCTTGTGCTTGCCAGGCAGGCACTTATGCCACTGGGCTATCTCGCAGGCTCTTGGATCCTAACTTTTTAAAACAGCATGCAAGAAGGTGCTAGGAACCTGGATTCTCGTTGATGACAATTCTCATTTGGCTATCCTCCTCTGTGTGGCCCTGTTCCCTGCATGCTTGAAGGATTAAGGACTAGATGATGGAGTGGGGCTACAGGATATACTTGATTTACACAGCAGTAGGCAAGCTCAGGCCTTAGGCCTGTGTTGTGCCCAACAGCCCTGTAGATGGGTAAATATATCCGGTATCCTGCCTGGATCACACTCACACAGACACAAATGCCACCCACAAATAAACATTCTTTTCTCTCAGGCTTTCCCTCCATGAATAATGGTTGGTATCTAGTCTGCTGTTACTTTGCAGCTATCATTAGTTAGAAAAGCCAAGGGTTGGGGATATAGCTCTGAGGCACAGTGTCTGCCTGGCAAGGTCCTGAGTTTGGTTCCGGTTAAAAAAAAAACAAAAAAAACAAACCAAGGGGCCGGAGAGATAGCTCAGAGGCATAAACACCTACCCGGAAAGCACAAGGACCTGAGTCCCATCTCCATCCCCGTATGCCATGCTGACCTGGGAACCAAGGGCAGGCCGTGCCAGCCCCAGAACTGGGCGTGGTGATGTATGCCTGTAATCCCAGCACTAAGGAGGTTGAGACAGGAGGACTGCTGCAAGTTTGAGACCAGCCTAGGGGTTACAAAAGTGAGCACAAGGCCATCCTGAACTGCATAGCAAGACCCTGTCTCAAAAA